ACCGAAATTTGTGTACTCATCCGTAATGGAATGTTAACGTCTGCTATTTTACTTCGTCTAAATATAGGAATAGAATTCGTTTCGACTTTTTTCCCTTTCGCGAGACATTATTCAAGCTAAACTGTTGTATGCCATTGTATGGAAACAGTCTCTCGTCGTTTTTTTTTTTTATGAGAATCACCCAAACTTCGTTAAATCAGCAAAACGGTTGGATAATGGGGAATTTGGCAATGGAATCGATTGAAATGCTTCGCTAGGAAGTGCTTCATTTCTCTATAGATTAGACTCATTCGTTCTTTTTTCTCGATATAGATTAGACAGTTTTTGTGTGAGTGTTCTTGCCGCTCTAAAAAGGCAATGTAGCTCGATTTTATATGTGCACATTTTGATCAGTATCATGGTTTTGCCTCTAATTTCCATAATTTCCCTTTGAGCTATTCATTATGGGACTATCAGATGGTTCGTAAAGTAGGGCTTAGTTGAAATCGTCTCGAAATAAAAAAGAAACAAACAGCAGCAACGACAACGACAACGACAAAAGCATACATACGCATGCCGAGAGAGAATATGTCTGAATGGCTTGACATAATCCGCCGAATATGTCAAACAAAATGTTCAACACATTTTACCACCGTCCTTTTGGTCCCTCGAAAAATATATACATGCATTTTTATGTGAAATTTTTATTATTATCACTTCAGTAACAACCAACCGACAGAGAATGAGAGCGATGCGAAGCGCGCCGAGCAGAAGAAGACAGCATGCGTTCTCGGACGCGTTTAGTGAAAATGTGACATTGACTTTCCACATTTTATTCGACTTATGTGTGATATGTATATAAAATACGACTGCAAAATCTCAATGATGCTCTCGGATGGCTGGAATGGCTTTTACGCTGGCTCCATCACATTTTGTTTTTCTGCTTCTTGTTTTTTTTTTGCTTTTCTCTCTGTGTTTTTGGCGAATGCGTTACCTTCGCATAAGAGCTCAACACCAAATACACACTTTAACAATTTATTTACGCTGTGTATGCGTGCGCTTTTGATTCCTCTTCTCTTTCTATCTCTCTGTGTGTGTATGTGTTGTTGGTTTCTTTCCATTCCGCCGTTGTTTCATATCTTTTATTTTCGACGTGCTTTAATATTGATGTTTGCTATTTAGATTTTGGGTATCGCGTTGAAAAAAAGAAGAAGAAAAAAACGAATACGTATTTGCGGAGAAGCAAAAGGCAACGAAACAACAACGAAAAATTACAGTTAGAATTGAATAGAAGTAACTGTTATATAGAAATGATGGTCTCTAAGCCGGAATGAAATGAGCGACAGTGAAAAGAAACATTTTTCTACTTCTTCTTCGCTTTGCTTCAATGTTAGAGAGTAAATAAAATGAATTAAAAGCCGTAAAGCTTGTGGAAAGAATTGCACAACGATTCTTGTGAAGATTTTCTATTGTTGAAGCTCTCTTTGTCTCCCTCTCTGTCTCGCGCCTGCCACATATTGAGACGAACGAACAAGAAAAGAACGACGGACTTACGCGCGCAAACATATGAACTTCGCGGTGTGCGCACACCACCGCGCATGAAATCAAAACGGATTTAGCACATGAATCTGAAAAACGGTTTTTGGTGAATACCAAAACAAAAAAGTGAATAAGGTATCACACGGAATAGCCGGGAAAAGAAATCCGAAAAGCTACTCAACGTATACAAAAAGAAGAAGAAGAATAAAAAAATAGCATTTTGTACACGTATACTCAAAACCATAAGTAAACAATTCGTGCTGACTCTGTGGCCACGAATACGAGACCATGCGCGCGCGTTCGTTCGCTCGCCAGCGCAAATGGAGCGACTTTAATGAGTATCCATTGTTTCAGTTTTGAATTTACGTCTCTTTTTTTTCGCCATGTGAAGTGATGTGCAAATTTATTTATATTTATATCACAAAGTCGTTCCGAAAGAGTGGGGAGCTACGTCAATGCACTAAAACAAATGATTCTTCTTTAATTTCACAGCCCATTTCGAAATCAAGCCGACTTACTCGTTCTTGAGCATAAAAATCACCACCCATTGAATTGCTATTGATTAGAAACAATGTGAATAATTAAAGGTTTAATGCTAACACGTTTGCCGTTTGATGCAAATTAATTCTATTAATTTGATAATCGAATTAAAAAAATGGCGAAACCTACAATTTGTGGGCTGTCTTCAAATAAAAGCCGTATAATTATTGTGAGAACAAAGATAAATGAATGCTGCGGCTGTAAAATGACTCAATTCCCCATGATTTGAAACCGCTTCGCATTGAGTCAATTTGCTATAGAATCAGCTGTGTGATGTTGATATCTTTGAAATATTTTTTCTTTCTATTTTCAACCACTCTCAGAAAAGCGAAAGAAAGAGAAACGAAAACGAAACAATGAGAGAGAGAGAGAGAGAGAGAGAGAGAGAGAGAGAGAGCTAAACACGTTCCAACAATTATGGAGATCCACTAGGCAGTATCTATAAAATAGCATTTTGAGAAAACGGATATCAGTGTGCTGTCGCTGTCCACCTGAATTCAGAGCCAGCAAACAAATGTAACATTTGTAAAAGAGAAAGAATATAAAAGCCTTTATATCTATGGCTCGGAGAAAATGCTCTACAGTGCTACATTAGTGAATAATAATTATGCACATTTGTGGTGAATGTGCACCATATTCCAGTGTGTGTGTATGCAACAGAAACTATACAATTTATCTAAAGTACCAGTGTGTGAAATATGTGCATAGTATATGTACTAAACGAGAATGCATCCGATAGAATCGAGCCATCAATATTCAAATGGCTCATTGATTGCAAGCAAGGGGTAGAGAAGAGTACAAAAAAAAAGACAGTCATCCCTAAAAACTGCAACCAATGGATGGAGCAAAGAATCATCAACATTTCGCAATCGTTCAAGTGCCCATTGCAAAATGAAATATCAAAAGGATGATTGTTTGCCGAGAGAGAAAAAGAGAAGAAAAAACACAATATCCTCAACTGACTGCCATACACTGCACCATGTATATGGAATAGTGCGTAGAACGACTGGAGAAATAGAACGGAAAGTTGATATAAACATTGAATAGCAGCCATAGATAATAGTTTTCGAAACCCAATCAGTTGCTATTGTATGACACTGCAATTGCAAGTTACCATACCAAAGCCCCCACGAGATAGACACACTCGATGTTGTATGCACATTCAAATCCCTTCACTCATAGTTTTCAATACATTTGAATAATTTAAATGTGAAAATATTAATCGATTTGCCACTGTATTATTCAGCACTCTGGGATGCCTTTGGGAAGAATGTGTCTGAGAATGTGTGGAGTGTTCCACATTGGGGCGGTTTCAAATCATATAATGTCAAAATTATTTCGTTATTTCGTGTACATATCTCGTAATGCATAACACTAAAGCCATAAAGGAAATGAGAATGGCATAACGTTGGAGAAGAGTTTGCCGATGAGAAAAAAGAAACGAATTTCAGAAGAATTCGATCAACAGATTCGTATCACAAGTAACTGGTATAACAAGTATAAAATTCTCCGGTCAATGGTGCTAATTTTGATGGTATAAAAAAAAAAACGAATTGCTGTCAGCGTACGATACACGTTGACACTGTCCACTCGACTCGAACAGGAAGTAAAATTGATAATGGCTTCTTTTATTTTCTGATGAAGCCGCTGAAGCAAGAGTTTATAAGTTCGCTCAGGCAGTGTTTTTTTCTCCTTTTTTCTTTTGTTTTTTTTTTTTTTGTTGGCGTTAACTTGTAAGGATTTATCGAGTTCCATGTGCATTTCATGAAAAACAACTAATCAACGGAAGTGTCAATTCGAAAGGAGTAGTTGTTGTGTTTTTGTTTTCTGCATTTGACTTTGTGTATTAGGTTTTGTATACAATGAAGAATGTTTTGTAGCAAAAATGCGCTGGATCGGTCGTACTGTCACACGGACGCACACATATATATGTACGTACACAGATAAACACAAGACACATACGCATACAAAGACGCACACTCAAGAGCTGCATAATGCCTTTAAAAACTAATACACACCGTGTGTGTTGTCGACCATCGTATGTAATTTCCATTACACCTGAACCATTCGTTGTTGGTGTGACGGTCGGGTGCGGGAGAAAGAGAGGCGCATTATTGGAGATAGAGACAAAGAGACTCGATACATTCAAAACAATCGAATGGCATTGTGTGCGTGATAACGATTACACACGCGTTTCAACAAGAACATTGTATGATGGTCGAAGAAGAACGTGAAGAAAAAGAAGGGAAAAAATTTATCCCCAGACAATACTTTGGGCCAATTCAAAAAAAAGAATTTGTAAGTGATCCACTTTTGGATTGCCTTTCAGGGCCATCTCTCTAGTTAATGTTGGGGATTTGATGTTGAATGGACCAAAACGATTAAGTCGTAATTTTTGTCCACTGACTGACTGACTAACTAAAACTGCACGAAAAACATACCGATACACTCTCACCGAGACGCAAAACTCAACAAATACATGCAATGCGAAGGCGATAGAACGTGTGGTGAAGTAAAGACTAGACGACGGTAAAGTTATTGATGGCAAAGAGTCAAACGTTCAAATATGAGCCAAGAGGCGCAATACAACAGCAATGGTAATAATAAATACTTCAAAAAGTGTCGGGAAAAAAGAGCGAGTGAGATGGAGTGTACGAGAGAAAAAAAAAACGAAGCAGAAAACATAAAAATGAAATTAAACCGAATGATATACGAAAAGTTGAGAGAGAGAGAGAGAGAGAGAGAGAGAGAGAGAAGAAAAAAAGCATAACAACACGAACAAAAACGATTATATGTATACGTATGCACTATCCCCAAGCCAAACCAAGTTAAACCAAACGACATGATGCGATACAAAATGAAGTGAAATGAAATGTAAAAAGTTTGAAAGAGAGAACACAGAAAGAGAATCGTACAACAATTTCATTTAGTTGGATGGATACCTGTGGATTTTTTTGGTTCGGTTCGTTCCGTTGGTGTGTTGCCTCGTCGTTTCGTACGTACGTTGGTTCGTTCGTTCGTTCGATTTGGTCGTTTCAGTCGTGTGTTCTTCTCTCTGTGTGTTATGTGTGTTTTTGCTACAATTGTGTGTTGTGTTTTGTGTGCTGCCCCTTGCTGTATATATGTCGCTGTAGCACTGCCGCTTCTTTTTCTTCGACGTCGTTTATTTTATTTTTTTCTTCTCTTTTTTATATTTTCGGTTGAAGTGTATTCAACTCTTACTATCTTTTTATTTGGATGCTTTTCGTGAACGATTCACTCTATCTACCTCTCTGTGTATGTATATGTGTATGCGTGTGGAGGTGACGGTGCTTCGTTTCAGTCTCTTTATTTTGTTTTAGTTCTGCATATAATAATAACACTCTTTCTCTTTTTCTCTCATCGTAGTTCTTGTTGTTGTTGTTGTTGTTGTGTGTGTTTTTCTTCTTCTTCCTCAACTTCTTTTCAAGAAATACACAGACATATATTGTACTTCACCAACACCACAACAATAACAACAACGAAAAAAAAAAACTCTTTCTGACGATGTTCGATGGAAAAATGCCGTAGCCGCACAATTCAATTCAAATTCGCACTCGTTCTTTTTTTTCCTTCTTGCTCTTGCATCACCAAGTTGCAGAGGTGGTTTGATGGATATATTCAGAGGATCGGTTGAGATATTGTTCGAACTGTGAAGCTCTTCAATTGATTGCACACTGTGTGTTTTGCAAAAATTGGTAATCAAATCAGGAATCGAATCAAAAGTGTTCTTCAAGAACAGGCCATTAGCATGTTTAAAGTGAATCGATGGGCCAATCGAAGATTTGTACGAATTTAACGTGCTGTTGACATCGTAAACAAATTTGGAATGGGAATTTGCACGATGAATGAAAGAATATTTTACAAGTAATATTCGGTCATTAGATCATCATTTGCCGTAATTATACGTCGTTTTTCTTCCTCTTCTTCTTCTTCGTTCAGAAACACAAATACTTTGTCTTTAGCAGAAACAGCCGTTCGCAGTGAAATTAGAAAAAAAAAACAATCCAAATGGTTTCTGTTTTCATGAAAAGGGTAACTCTCTTTCACTCTCGGTGTGCCCTCTTTATTTCTCTTGTTTACAAACAATTTTTTAATGCTTCTGTCTTAGGATGAAATATTATAAGCGACTTACTTCCCAATTTGTTTAATGGGGGAGCCCTTTTTTTGTTTGCATAATTATCAATTGAAAACCGTTTTCAATCCCATATCTTGAATGCAAAATGCGTGAAACGTTCATTCGAAAAGAGAAAAAAAAAGTCCAAACCAAAAACTGAACTGAAGAACAAGGTGTTCTAAGTAATTATTAATATTCCACGAATGGTCAGCAAGCAAAACGAAACTAAAAAACCTCCAAATATTTTCACATTTAAACTTTGCAGGAGAGAAATATCAAGCAAATGCCAATGGAGTAACATACACAATTTGGTTCGTTATAACGAAATCAAAACGAAAACAGATTTTTTGTTTGTTTTTGGCAGAGAATTAAATCACATACTTATTCGTAATTTGAAATCCGTAAATGATAAACCACCATTGTTCACGTTATTGTTGCACAAAAATTTATCTTCGGGTTTTTCTTTTTCAAAACAACATTTTGTTCTTCTTCTTTTTCGTTATTTTTTTTTTCTTCTATTTTATTTCATTTTTTTTTTTCTTTTGGCCAGTTGGTTTCAAGAAGAAGTGTTAGTACCACTGTGTGTCACATTAACTAATAAAAACATTCAATCGTGTGTGCGCCGTACACCTAATAATAAAAAAAATAACTTGAATTACTCATCGAAGAAATGTACACGTTTGACAAGCACAACGAACAATGCGTCCATCCATTACAAGTGGGCACCTAACTCAAACTAACTTGTATTCCGCAAAGTTGCTAGCTGTGCATAATATACACAACGATTGAACCGTTGTGTTAGTCTTTCGCTCTCGCTCTTGCTCTCGCCGCTCTCCAGTTGAGCGCGTGATGGATGGATGGATGGTTGGTGCGAACGCATACACATTTATTACCTTACTTGTATACAATAAATATAGAGAGCCCCCACTGAATGAATGTAAAAAAAAAAACACACCAATTCAGATTGCGAAGTGCAAGAGACGGAATGAACACACTGTTCCGTGTACCATTCAATGCTATGCAGAAAGAGACAAATGAACAAACATTCAGCAGTACGGGCTTGTGTGCGTGCACTGGTCGTCTGTCACAGCTTTCTACTAGGTGTATGTGTGTGTGTGTGTGTGTGTGTGTGTATTTGTGTGCATGTAACATGGAACACTCGTTTGCAAGCACACACATGCACACGCACCATACTCGCACGCACACACAGGTTGTCATTTTGGATGGTGGCGTGCACAGGCACGAATAAAATATAACCAAATATATCTATATAACCAAGTATATCTATATAAATGTACATTCGCGACTCAATCGTTTGGCTCTTCTTGTGTATCATATGTCGCCCAAAAACCTGAGAGCGCTTTGAATTTCAAGAATCATGATTTAGCAGGGATTTACTTTCGTTTCCGCTTCAAAAGGCAACTTGAGTTGTTCCCATCATCGAAAGTGATTGAAATCAAATCGTATCACAGTTACAAACCGAAAATCTCTCTCAATGCGACCGATAACGGCCCACATTTTTATACACTTTATTTACACTTTAAATCCATTTTTTTTTACTGTGAACACATACATCGTTTTTTTTTTATCTCGTCATGTTATTGTTCTCCTCTCTTGGTTTGTACAGAAAATAAAACACAGAGACTTTGTTATCAATTGGTATTTACATTCTGCAATTATGCACCATACACTGTCACAATGTATTGCGAATATTTTCTTTTATTATTATTGGATAACGTATTTCGAGTACTTTAAGATAATACAGCCACAGCCAATTTAGTTCGGCTATAAGTGCTTTCGGAGCTTTTAGAAGCTTTTTTGAGCTTCCAAAAGCGACAATTATTAACCATTAAAAGTTCAAAATGCGTCAATTTCCAACGAATCGCTTTCCGCTTTTGAGATGGCAGCTCTAGCAAAAAACCCGTTTTCGCATGTGCTTGTTCCATTTGTGCAAAATGTGTTACTGCTGATATTGTCTTATGGATGGAGCTAAATACTTCGATTTTTGTTTCATTCTGAATGGATTCTTTTATTCTTTTTTTCTATCTAATTGTTTAAATGAATGCAAAATGATTCTGAAACTGTCCAAGAATATTATAACGGTGTTCATAAGGTTGATTTAAAAAATGAGTTGTAAGTAGTGATTTCGAGGTTTTATGACGTTATCACATAGAACATACACGGTTCGGTGGTTTTTTTTTTTGGCGCGACTGCAATCTCTGTCGTTTTTTTTTCGATTCAATTAAAATTGTTGACTCTGACAACATCAATATAACTGATTAAATCAATTGATTTTGTTACTGTTACTTCATCCGATAGACCTCACAGTATGTGCTTAGTCAATTGCTGATAAAAAAGTAAAAATAACGCAAAAAAGTCGTAATAATCACAATCGGAAGAAAATGCATCCAAAGCAGCGAAGCCCGGAAAAGAATCATGTTGATATTGCCATTCAAGATCCAAAAATCGTTGCGTGCCTACGCACGATAGTTGATCATTCCGTCAGCATGAACAGACACATTGGATCAACCGTCTGCGACCCATACTTAATGAGCCTATTCATCCGTGAGAATTACGCGTGCTTATCGCTAAAGTGTTACCGTTTTACGGGCCATTGTTTGTACTCCAAACCGGACTCATTACTCACAGTTAATGCAAACAAACAAACAAACAAACACACACACACACACAATCTGCCTTTGTCCAATGTAATTAATTTGCCCAATTATTTACGATTCTAAACTCTATAAATAGACGCTGTGACTTTCATTTTTTCCTTCAAATAATCTCTATCATGCGTAATATTGGAATTTTGAAATTCATGTCGGTTGAAAAATGCAGCATTTCTGACAAAGAGGAAGTAGAGTTCTACAACTGGTTTGAACTTGATCACACTAGAGTCAATCATTTCGCTATAATTTATTATCCCATTTTATGCCCTAAATAAAACCGGAAAAAAACTGACTCCAGCCTTGATAATAATTTTTTTGGAGCTCATCAAGCATTGTCACTAATGCAGAACCATTGCGTAAGCAAAAGTATCAAATTACTTTCAAAATGTATTAACAAAAGCACTAAAGCAAGTAAAAGTCTTGAATTTTTTTTAAGAAGCGTCTAAAGCTTAGTACACAGTTCCTTGTGATATGAAAAAATTTCTCCGATGAAATTCACGGCCGTGAAAAAATAAGAAAGATCAAAATAAATTCAAGAATGAATTCAAAATTCAAAATTCAAATTTGTTCATGTGTTGTGTTGATATTGGAGGGAGTTAGCTGATTTATACATCAAAAATCATTATGCAATTCGAAAATACAAAACACCATACAAATATCACCTGTAAAAATTTCACCAGAGAAATTTTTTCATTTCACGAGGAACTATGTACTTAGCTTAATATGTAATAAAAATTTAGATGCTTTTGTTTGGTCACTTCACAAACCGCCAACAATATCCCTGGCTTAAGTCTGAAAAGGAGAAATGCATCGAATCACTCAAGCTCAAATTTTTTAACTGTAAATCGCCACATACATTTGCGCAATATCGTTGATAGTTTTTGAAAGATTCACATCAGCAGCGTTTTTACAAATTATTGGGCCTTATCAATAGATGTGTTCTCTACGGAATATACTCAAAAATTAAGATGATATCCACCATATCCTAAATTTATTCATTTAAAACTGAACAAACGTAATCAACATATTTATTTTTAAATTCAACGTGGAAATTTCTTAGAAGTCACCGATATCGTAATTACTATTTCAAAATGATTTGTTATGGCCAAATTTGTTTGTCGATTTTTGCTTCTAATCATTGAGATAGTAACTGAAATTGCAAAATGAAATCTTCCATAAAAGGCGGAAAAGAGGACAAACATTATCTGAATAGGAAAAAAATATTTTTCACAATTAAGAATGATAGAAAAGCATTTTTTTTGTCCATTGCACTCGAAAAAAAAAAATCCATTCTGTCCAGGGATATCCAACAGTTCGATTTCAAGCGAAAAAATAAAGTAAATAAAATATAACAAGGCCGTCCATCGTCTAATATTTCAATTTCTGATAACCGTAAATTTAACGGAAGCAATGCTGCTGCTCTATTATTATGAAATGAAATACATTGATTGTAGATTTGTAAGTTATTGCTTTGCGTTTCATTCACCGCACGAAAAAAAGAAGTGAAATAAAACGCGTGAATTGTTTTGTCTCGTTGTGATAAGATGCGTCGTAATCAAATAGTCTACAATTTCTCGGTCAGACGATTGAAGTTCAATCATTTTTGTGTTGTTGATGATCATTTGTCATTACAATATTATTATACATTGCTATACGTAAATGCGATTGGTTTCGTTTGCATTGTTTACTTCTAGCTTCGAAGAGATGTTTACATGTTTCATCTCGACTTACCAAATAATTCGGACTTTGTTTTTATCTTTTGCGTAAATGCGCTAATCAATTTGTAGTAAATGTCATGTGTACATGAGTCAATGGTCGGTTTGTTGTGTTCGAGCAGCTGTTTATGGAATTCGCTCAAGTGGCGTTCATTCGCAACGGCAACAAAAACAGCGACACCAATAGCCGCCACGACAATGCGCTTGAATTGTGGCGGCTCTTTCACGTTGTTTTGTATTGGTGCCACCATTTACAGTTGGGTAATATTATGAAGTTAAAGCCGCTACACATTTAATGT